ATACGATATATACAAGTAAATAAAAAAAATCAGTTCATGTAATGATATTCAAAAAACTATATAACAAGCTATATAAAATTCGATCACTAAGCAAGTATTAGTCAAATATAGGTTATGAAATAATTATTAATATGAAAGAGAATAATACAAATTTTAACCTTGAATTCATTCTAAAATTATCACATCTTACGAAATTATACTGTCGTGCACTTCTCAATGAATATGTCGAAATAAAAGATTTTTAAACATTGTGAGATATACTAATTTACAAATCTTTATAATCATAAAATTTGATGTAAATTTATATTATCGCCAAATTTAAGTTTGGCGATTGTATTAAAGTTTGATTATGTAAATAGAATGGTAAATATATTATGGCGATAAATTATATCTAGAAATCAACTGATTTGATTTTCATTAAACTATTCTTTTAATTTTTGTATTAATAAATAAATCTAATATTTTTTTTTTCATTATTACATATCATATTATATAATTTTATGTTTTAGTTAATTAATATTAAATTTATGTAAACATTATAATTTTTAATTTTACTTTGCATTAAAATTTTAAAATATTGTATTTCACACGTAAAATTTCATTAATAAAAATTAAAACTATTAAAATATTTAATCAATAATACATATAATATTATTATCTATATCATTTAAAAATCACTTATAAAAGCTAAATAATTAATACATCCGGTATATAATTTATGAGATAATTTTCAATAATTAGATAATATTCAATAATTATATGTCTTCTAAAAATTTATTACGTAATCACAATGAAGTTCAAATTAATATCAATTTTTATTAGTTAAATAAATCTTATATTACTCCTATATCACATATAATTCGATGTACATTTTTAAATAATTAATCAATATACATATACCTACTTTATAATCTTCACAATATTTTATATCAGTATTGAATGCAATGATTAAATTCAATAAAATGCTTTATATTAGAGCTCAAAAGATATTGCTTCAAAATAATATATAGCGTTATTGGAATTTCGAAAGATATTTGCGAATATTTGCTCAATATGTAGAAAATCTTTGATCTCATATAGCTTTTATAGCTGACATTTTACCTGTTCAATCAATAAATACAACCTAATATTTTGCTAAAATGTATTTCGAAAAAAATAAATAATAATAAATATTTATTTTTATATTATTATTTATTTGAAATTCTCCATCATTACAAGAAACAATAAAATATGTTAAACACTTGCTTATTGTTCGAATTTCGTACCGAAATGATATAAAGTGGTTTTGAAATCACTTAAATATATTGTGTATCCAAATTACTTAATCTGAAATAAATTTATAAATTTACCTGGATTTCTAAACAATGTTTTGGACCAAAACGGAATAACGCCATGTTCTTTATATCCTGGTTTATAGATCCTTCTTTCTTGCTTGTTATCGTCAACACCAAGTGACCACGCGGAGCTCTGGCGCCCAACTCAACTAACTCCTCTGTTCGTTCGTCATGAATATTTCTACAGCGCATGCGTGAAACAGCAAGTGTCCTCAAAGGATCATTTTTACTTATAAATCTGCCACGTTACGTTCATAAGAAATCTTAAAATTAATTTTTTTAAGTTTTAATAATTATTTTAAAAATATTAAAAGATAATATTTAGATTTTATAATAAAAAACAATAGAATGCATAATAAATTTTAATAAAGATTCCAATGTTATTTATACAATAAATTAAATATTTTAATATTGTGATATTGTTCCAGTATAGGGAATTTTGATAATTGGTAATCGATGTTAAATTTAGCGCGAAATACAAGTATATTTAAATAGTATCACATATATATAAAGAAAACTACTAATATTTTTTAACAACATTATACATATATATACATATATATACATAAGTTTTAATGTTTATAATTTTTCATCTTTATAATATAATTATTTAATCACTTGAATTTCTTCTATTTCATAAAATTAATAAAAAATGCCAAGTTTATCACATATCTCTGATGATAACGATGGTCTAAAATTTATATAATATATGAATAAATATAAATAAATAATTTTCACATTATATTTTTTTATATAATAATAAAATATAATTAATTACTTATTCAATGTGAAAAAATGGAAGCCACAAGTAGTTGTACTTGCAATAATATCTTTTATAATAGTTTTTAATAATTCTATTCCATAAATACGTACTTCTTCATCATTGTCTTTTATATATTGCAAATCATTTAAAATAATTTGAGGTATTTTAACATTACAAATTTTTGCCATTTTTTGAAAACATGTATAATTTGGAATTGGAAATATACCTGGTATAATTGGAACATTAATTCCAATTTGTTTACAATCATTCACAAATTTAATAAATATGTTTGCTTCAAAAAAAATTTGTGTTATTATAAAATCTGCTCCTGCATCAACCTTTAAATTAAAAAAAATTAATGTTTTTTAATATAAAATGATACATAAAATGATATTATTAAATGATGTTAATTAAAATAAATACTTTTTCTTTCAAATAAACTAAATCCATTTCTTTAGATAATGATTTTGGATGCATTTCTGGATAACCAGCAACACAAATGCAAAATATTTCACCAAATTGATTCCTTATAAAACGTACTAAATCAACTGCATATGGAAACTCACTATTTGGATTTGATGAATCTAGAATTTTTTTTATAAAATTAAATTAACATAAAAACTTTTATTATTAATGAAAAATTCTATATATAAATTTTTCAAATAATGTTTAATTACCACCCTTTAATACAAAAATATTACGTATACCGCGATCTAATGTTTTTTTTAGTATAATTTTTACATCATTGCTAGTTAAGTCATTAGATGTAAGATGTAAAAGTATATTATTGGGAAATATATTATATATATCTGAAGATAAATAGTTTTTTATTTCATTTTTCATATGTTTCCATGTTAGTGCATAAAAAAGTGGATGATATTTATTCATTTCCATAAAAAAGCTAATAACCAAAATTTTTATTTATAAAGAAATATATAAAAGTATAAATATATTGAATTTTATGAAATATAAAAATATACTTACTTTTTATAAAAATCATTGTTTTCTACATGCATAAACTCAAAACTACAAAATATAGTATTTGTGTCAATTACATTTTTTAATTTATTTCTTAAATCAACGATTTCGTGTTCAGTATCTTTAGATTGATAACCATTTTTATTATCAATATATTGATTATATGTTTTACATTTTAATGCAGTTTTTGTCATAGTATTTTTTAATTTAGATATAAAAGATAATTAACAATGAAAAATTTTTTCGTATACTTTATATTGTATAACATTCTCAAATACGTTGTCAAATTGCGCAATACAGGAAATATACATATAATTGGTTTCTTATTTCTTATGACAAAATAATTTCTGAAATATTAATATATAAAAAATAAAAAATTAATATTATAATATATTTATTATTAAAAAATTATTAATGTATTTGTCAAAATATTAAGATTTTTACTAATTGATCTAATTATATTTTGTAAATTATTATATTTTCTTGTGTCTTATATGTATTTAATATTTTTGAATAAAATACAAAAATTTTTAATATTCATTTATTGTTAATTTATTATTTTTTTTGATAAATACAATTTCCTACAAACTTTTGTTATTGGAATATCATACACAGGTGGTATACCACCTGGAATAGTTTCTTTTTTTGGACATGAATATTTATCTGTAATAGTTGCAATATCATTAATATCTGGTGTCATAGACAAGTTTATAGCTGGATAAATAATAAATGCAAATATTGCAAGGGCAGTTAAAGCCCAAATTGGAATTGCTATAGCCCAGTACTTAGAAGGCCAATATGTTAATCCTAACTCGTATAAAATTTGGTCTGGTATTACAGCCCATACCAAAAATAAAAGAAATAACATATTTGAACTTATGTATAAAGCATATCCATAAACAGATCTTGGTCCATATGGAGCTGGAGTATGTTCCATTTTATAAAAAAATGTAAAAATAGTTTTAAAAATAATGAATATTTACTTAATAATAATCATAATTTGAAACAGGTGGACCAAAAAGTTGCATAGTTTCTGTTACTAAAATTATACTATCAAAAAATGATGTCACTGCCACTCTAACTTTTCGTGCTTCAGTTCCAGAAATTTCTCTATAAAAAATATTATAAAATTATAAATTAAAATGTGTGCAAATATATATCATATATATTTAAATATGTATTAATAAATATAAAATACAATATAATTTACATTTGTAATAAATTATTGTCCAATTTCAAAGATTTTGAAATACTACTTCTTGAAGGCTCTGTATCAACTCTCAATACTTGATAAGCAATTTCTGCTTCCCTTGATGAAGGAAAGGGTATTATCAAATTTCTATATAATATTAAGGTTATTTTTATATTTGTTTTATAAATTGCATATATTAATGAAAAATCATTACATATTTTAAAGGATACACATTAAAAGTACTCGACATTTCATCAATAATTCATTAATATAAAAATATTTTTTGTAGTATTAATTATAATTTACATAGAAATGTATATAACTTATCTTATTTTATTCGCGTATTTTGATATATTTAAATAATTAAAAATATTTAATTATTCATATATAATAACTAAATATTATTTTTTATAAGAAATATTAATTGTGTGACTTGTTATATATAATAATTTATTAATTTGGTTACCTTTTATAATATGATTATTTTGTTAGTATTAGTACATATTTAAAATATGGTATAACTACATATATACAAGTTTAGTAATTTTCTTTAAACGGTTTAGTGTCATTAAAGTTGACAAATGTCGAGACAAAATGGTTGTCAATGACGTAAGAAAATAGCAAAATGGGGGAATTGCAGAAGAATGATACTTCCGTTAATATAAAATAAGAATATCGAACTTATGCTTCGTGACTTGTGTAGCTTTTTCTCCCACTTAACGGGACATCGTTTCCCCCATAATTCCCCCACTCTTTATTATTTTTGCCTCGCAACTGAGAATTTCAGTCAACGTTGAAGCTTGTATTCGCTTGTACACGACGGCTTTATAGCATAAATAATATCAAAACTTGATATAATCTTAGTATAAGTCAGTGTATGTTAAATATGAAAAACATTTAATAAAAAATATTTATTTTATATTTTTTATATAATGGGTCGAAGAAAAAGTAAAAGAAAACCACCAAGTAAAAAAAAAGCAATTCAACCATTAGACACGCAATTTAATTGTCCATTTTGTAATCATGAAAAATCATGTGAGGTTAAGATGTACGTTAAGCTAAAGTGTTAAATGATAATTTTACCGCCAAATTTTATATTGCTCAAATTAAAATATTTTTCTTTTTAATTACAGGGATAAATCAAGAAACACAGCAAGAATTACATGTAGAGTTTGTTTAGAAGATTTTCAAACAACAATTAATTTACTTTCAGAACCTTTAGATGTATACAATGATTGGATTGATGCATGTGAAAGTGCAAATTGAAGATTATTGTTTTGATGTTTGATTCAAATTTATTATTAGATTATTATATACTAATAGACTTATTTATTTCTTCGTTTTACTAAATTGTAAACACTTTATAATATAATGAATATTAAATTGTACACGACACATAAGTAAGAACTTTACTATATATATATATATTTTATATATTAATGAAAAGATATTTATAATTTTGTAAATTTAATATTTTATTAGTTCAAAATAATACAACTTTATATATGTCTTATTACAATATAGATATCGTAGATTATTAATTTTAATTGTATGATATTCATATAATTATATATATTAGTTTTTTATATTATTCAAATCATTATAAAAAAATAACAAAAATATTAAAAAATATAATTATAATAACCTATTCATATGTAAGAAAAAAATATGTAATATTTTTTAGTAAATGTTTTTATCATACAAATTATGTTATTGTAAATTAATAATGAAAAAAATAAATCTTTATTATAATTTTTTGTGTATTAGTAAATTCAACCTAAATTATTGATCGTAATTTTAAATATATATATTATTATTATTATTAAGTTTACTGAATAATAATTTTTTTAAATATAAAATTCTGAATAATAAAATACAGGACTAATCACACTAATGTTTCTATATGTTTTTAAATAAGTATTCTTTATTTTAAAATTATTTTAAATATTAAGATTACTGTTTTATGAAAGATTTAATTAAAAGTAGACAAAAAAATAAAAAGTTTAAATTCAAAATGAAATTATAATATCGTTCCCTCGCAAAGCTCAGCGGATGTGTTTCATAGCGCAGTCAAGATGGCGTTCCACCAAGTGAAATTACTTGTTAGAAAAAGTATGTGAAAAAAAATGCCGCGGAAAGCTTGAGAACGACGCGTGCGAGTTTAAGTCTTGAGTGAAGTTTCGGTGACACAATAAATCCTCGTGGTTTCGCCATGCATTTTAGATGAAAAGAATTCAAATGTCAGAATAGAAACGATGCATGTATTAACCCAAGTGACAAGGTTTGTTCGCTGATCTTCGGACATTGCGGAGAACCGTGATCGTCGAGCGGCGAACAACGACGCTATGGCGTCCATCGGACGTGTGTATGTGTGTGTCATTATTTTTAATCCGCAATTAACGGCTAATTAAGCAGTCGTAACTGTGGATCACAAGTAGAATTCAATGCGTGTGAAATTCGCGTTACCGGTTGTTAAACGCGACTTCTTAGTGTTAGTCGTCGAACCGGATCGGTTTATGCAAAAACAAACATTCTGGGTTGCTTTCATTTCCCCTGTTTGACAGCTCCTAATCTAAATTACTTGGAACAGTATGAATATTTTATTTCGATTTCTTTGATTACATTGTCACAAACTAAATTGTGCTTCTGCTATAATTCTCTCATTAAAGAGTATGGCACAAATCGTTACTGTTAGAATTTATTCGTGAGCTCGAGAATGTGATTAAACTGATTTTTCAACAAGTGTGCTTAATTGCAAGTGTTTATAATTCATAGCTTATATATCATTTTGAAATATTTTGTTTTTAAATCTCTTTATAATATGTCAATGCATGCAATTTTTTATGTAAACATTTCAAATTCATATAATAGTTTATATAATATTTTCTGTTTTAATATTTAAATATTTCAGTTTTAATATTGATTGAATTTTTATTTGTATTGCTTTGTATGTAATAAGAAAAACTTTGTTTATATGCTTTATTTTTATTTTTAAAATATAAATGTATCATTGCATATCTGCATTATTTGAAATATAATTATATGTAATATAGCAATGTATTCCTAATATATTCCATAAATATACAAATTTATTTTACTTTATTATATTTTATTATTTTAAAATTGAAAATTTAATAAATTATTATATTTAATTTATATTAAAAATATATAGTATAAGGTGCAATATTTTTATTTTATACTTTTGTAATATGAGTTTTTAATTTATATTATTTTTTACATTATTCATTAGTTTAAAACTTTTTTCAATATTCTTTTAAAATGATTTATAAATATATCGAATTATTACTTTTGATATGAAACTTATGAAGGAATACATTTCTTATTGCAGGCATAAAAAATGAATAGATAATATAAGTGATATGAAAATAACTAATTGTTAGTGTTATACAGGAAAGTGACAAGACATTCCATGATTTCATATAAAATTTTAGTTAAATACATTGTGACTTAATGAACTTTTCACATCATGTCAAATAGTTTGGACAGTTTTTTAACACGTATTGGGGATGTCACTATAGAACGTGTGACTCCTCGCTCAGGCCCTAAGCCTAATGAAACAGTAATGTCAACTGAAACTGCAACAAATACAAATATGAATAATATAGAGTCTCAAACAGGAAATGATGAAAGTTCAGAGGAATCTAGTAGTGAAACATCTGATGGAGAACATGATAAGAAAAATGATACGTTACAGTCAGAGGAAATAGAAGAAATACGTTCAGAAGGATCAGGAGACGATATGGATTTAGATGAAACAATTGATTCACAAATTGGTGTACGAGCAGAATCAGAACGGCATCATTCTCAAGTTGAAGAGGATGATGAAGAGCCAGTTAATATATTAGATACTTTACCATTAGAAGGTTTGTATTATTTTTTAATTAATTATTTAATTGAATGGAAATTTATATTATATTATATAATCTTTAAATTAATATTTCATTAATATTAATAATAATAATTATTAAATTTAATATCATATTAATAATTAAATCTTCTGTAAAAGGAGCCCCAATTGAGGGTCAAGAAGTATCTGAAGCAGATTTACTTGGAAAATCAATTTCAAAGGATACAGATGATGAAGGAAGCATAGGACATGAAAATGACAAACATGAAGGTCATTCTATGGAAGAAGAAAGTACAGAAAGTAACAAGAGGCATGCTGATTCAGAACATTCTGATACAGTTAAAAAGAAGCAGAAAAAAGATGATGGAACTGAAGGATCTACATCAGAATGTGAAACAAAAACAGAAAAGAAATTAGCAAATATGAGAAGAAATATTCGAGAAGTTATGGATGAAACTCAACTTGATGAAGCTACTTTATCAGCTCAAAGACAAGAAATGGAGCGTCTTCGCAGAGTACAAGAACAGCAAAGAATAATTCGTGAAGTTCAACGGCAAATAGCAATAAATAGACAAAATAATAAAACACAAACAAGAGTAATTAGTCTATTACAAGGTAAACAGAATCAAGCAGGTACTACTATTTCGCAATCATCTCCATCTGCTCCAGTTCGTTTACCAAATACAGTGCTTCTTAAAGTAAATTCTGGATCTGGAACTGGATCTCAAACTACTTCTAGTATGCAAACAAATCAAATACAAAGAAGATCAATAGAAGGATCTCGATGGCAAAAAGGTAGAGGTGTTTATCAAGGAGCACAAACATCAATTTCACGAGTTGCAAATCGTCCTAGTGGCCCTAATATGTTACAACAAAGAATTCGAATGATGACTCCTTCTGTAAGCATATCTCCTGTAGTTCCTAAAAAGGAACCTATGGATAGATCTGAATATTATTCAGATTCTGAAATCTCGGATATAGAAGCTGAAGAAGCTTTACGTGAAAAACAAATACATACTGTTAAAAAAGTATCAGCTGGACCAAAGTCTCAAAAAACAGCTAAAGGCAAAGATGTGGTTACAATATCTAGTTCTAGCGAAAGTTCAGATGATGATTGCATAGTTTTAAGTGATCCAAGTGGTGGAGAAGATACAGACAACGAAGATGATCCATCCAATTCTGGTATGCATACTAATGATAGATATAACATTCCAGATGAACATGGTAGAGTGTTAATAAATGTGGGTCATCCTGAAACAGAGCCTGATGTATTTTTAGCTCCACAGGTAGCTCGTATTATTAAACCTCATCAAATTGGTGGTATTCGTTTTCTTTATGATAATATTGTTGAAAGTATTGAAAGATTTAAAACTAGCTCTGGTTTTGGTTGTATTCTTGCTCACAGTATGGGTTTGGGAAAAACACTTCAAGTTGCTAGCTTCTGCGATATTTTTTTCCGATGTACTACTTCTAAAACAGTCTTATGTATTATGCCGATTAATACATTGCAAAATTGGTTAACAGAATTTAATATGTGGTTGCCATACGAAGATCCTAATGTTTCAGAAAAACATAGCAAAAGTTCATGTATCAAATCAGAATCTATTATGGAGCTTAAACAAGAAGTTAAAGATGAAAGTGGGAATCAGAGTGATATATCAAACATGTCAAGTATGTCAAATATATCAAGGCCTATTAGTACAGAATCAGCTCATCGTTTTGGACAAGAAAGTACATCTCAATCTATAAATATTATGCCAGAAAATCCATATATTCATCAAGGATATGAAACGCATAACATGTTACCTAGTTATGTACAAGATAATATGTTAAATAAAAATATATCAGATTCGCAAGTTCATATAAATGAAAATTATCATAATGATATTTCACAAAATACAATATATAATGCAAATGCTAATCCAATGTCTACATTTGATTCAATGAAATCAGAAGTAAATTGTCATGGCATGCAACAAAGATCAAACATGCCAGATACAAAATTTGGAGTGGAAAATCAAAATTCTAATAACATATATTCTGGTTTAGAAAATCGATCACAAACTTCCATATATTCAGGTATGGAAGTTCGAAATCCTAATACTTTATATCATGGAGTAGAAAGTCATCATTCTGTATCTATGTATCCTAATTATGATAATTCTACTAATTCTTTTTCTAATTATTCAAATCGATCAACTCAAGAGTCAGATCAAGATCCAAGAAAAGATTGTTTTAAAAATACTTTATCTTCTATAAATTCAGAAGTTAATGTAAAGAAAGAACCAGAAGAAACAGTTAAAAAAGAGGAAAGTACTTGTACAACAAAAGAGGAAACAATAAGCGAAGAGAAAAAAGAAATTGAAAAAATTAAAACTCCATTTATTGTAGATGCTCCTATTGGTATGGAAGTAAGACCACGACATTTTCGTTTGCATATCTTAAATGATTCTCATAAAACCATGGCGGCAAGAGCTAAAATAATTCAAGATTGGCAAATAGGGGGTGGAGTTTTATTAATTGGATATGAATTATATAGACAATTATCTTTAAAAAAGCCAAACAAAGCAAAAAGAAAACGTGGACAACCTTTCAAAGATACTGTTGATGTTGAAGAAGAAGATAAAAATAAAGGATTATTAGATGAAATGCATACAGCTTTAGTTAATCCAGGTCCTGATTTAGTTATATGTGATGAAGGCCATAGAATAAAAAATTCCCATGCTAGTATTAGTATGGCTCTGAAACAAATGCGCACAAAACGTAGAATAGTATTAACTGGATATCCATTACAAAATAATCTTTTAGAATATTGGTGTATGGTTGACTTTGTAAGACCTAATTATTTGGGAACTAAAAGTGAATTTTGTAATATGTTTGAAAGACCAATTCAGAATGGTCAATGTATTGATTCAACACCACAAGATATACGTTTAATGAGATATCGTGCACACGTATTACATGCTTTATTAGAAGGTTTTGTACAAAGAAGATCTCATTCTGTATTACAAGTTTCTTTACCACGAAAAGAAGAATATATTCTTCTTGTTCGAATGACATCACATCAGCGTAAATTATATGATACCTTTATGAATCAAGTAGTAAAGACGCGTGCAGTACCTAATCCGCTGAAGGCTTTTGCAGTATGTTGTAAAATTTGGAATCATCCTGATATTTTATATCATTTTCTGCGTAAACGACAAGCAAATGAAGAAGATGATTTAGATTTAGAAGAAACAATTGGTGAAAAATCTACACCTGGAGGTAAACGTTCAAAAGCTCGGCAATCAAAAGGAGAAACCAAAAAAGGAAAGAAAACAAATACAACTATAAAAAACAAACCAGCAGCTAGTGTACAACCTAATGCTTCATCATCTAATACTGAAAATGTAGAGAATGATAATTCACATACTACTCCAAAACAGAATAATTATTCCAATTATCCTCCTATGCCAATGAATAATTCAGGATATTCAAATTCTATATCACAAAATTCTTATCCTCATGGTTATCAAAATTATAGATCAAATGACCAAAATACATATTATAGAAATGACAATAGCCATGGAGAATATAATGAATTTTATAATAATCAAGGATCACAAAGATATGGAAATCAATCATTTCAAACATATACACAAACTCCAGGATATAATACATCACAAAATTACTCTAATCAATCACAAAATTATATACCAAACAATGAACAATCTACAAATAATCATTCTCAACGATATCCAACTGCTCCTTCCAATTCAGAATTTCGTTCAGATCAGAATCAAGGAAATAATTATGAAGTATCTGGAATGTATTCACGTCAATCTTATCCTTATCAAGATCATGGACGTAATTATGGATCAAATTTAAATCCAGGATCTAATAATTATTCTCAAGTTCCAAATCAATCTTCTTTTCAATCACAAATGCCAAATCAATCTGCAAATATGCCATTACCAGATTATTCTCCATATGCATCAAATCAAGCTCAAAATTACAATTCTGGAACAAGTCAAACGAATACTATATATTCAAGAAATGAAAGTCAATCATTACAAAATCCTACATTAGGATATAATACAAATCAACAAGGACAAAATTCAACACCTCAAACGCCAAATGTTGCATATCTTCCAAGTCAACAAGGACAAAATACGACAACTGCTCAAAATCGTGGCTTTTCTCCAAATCAACAAAATCAGAATCTTCCTTTACAAAGTTCTTCTCATACTTATGGTGGTTCACAATCACAAAATATACCATTATCTAATCAAGCCCACAATTATCCTACTCAAGTAAATTCAAATCCTTCATCACAAACATCACTTACTTTTAATCAACAATCTCCAACTCCTATGCCACAAAGTCAATCTCATCCATATATGACAAATTCATCAAATCAAGCATCAATTTCACAAAATCAAATGCGTGGATATCCTACATCAACTCAGAATCAAATAAATGTGCCACAAAATTCATCTTCATATCCTACTAGCCAATCAGCTTCAAATGCTCCCACTCAAACACATGGATATTCTCAAGATCAGCAAGGATCAGTTGCTAATACACAAAATACTATGCATGGATATTCACATCTTGTATCTTCATCTACATCACAAAATCAACCTTATCCGCCTAATATACAAAATCAAACAGGAAGCTCATCAAATACAAATCATGCTTATGGTTCAAATCATCAAGGTTCAGCATCAATACCACCAGCTTCAACTCATAGATACAATACTTCTCAACAAGGACAAATTTCACAATCTCAAAATCAATCTCTTTCATATTCTCAAAATCAGCAAGCATCAACTTCTTTAAATCAAAATGATCAATTATATTCCAGATCAGATAATCAACAACAAACTCAAAATTATACATCAACAGCTAATACATCTCATGAATTTTCAACAGATCGTCAAAGTGGAGGTTCATCTACAAATCCTACAAATAATTATTCAGTAAATCAAACATCATCTCAAAATACTGTTTTATCAAATTATTCATCAGATAGTGCTCATCAAAATCAAGTAAATCAAATGAAAGGTTCAGAAGACTCTTATTGGCAAAGAAATTATTCTCAACCATTTCAATCTGATCAGTGTAATGATCCATATTATCGGGATGTAAATCCTAATGTGAATCGATATCAAAATAATTATTTTCCATCACAAAATTATCAAAATCAATCTTACGATTATAGTAATAATCATAATTCAGATACTAATACACGTACAGAAGATGCAAAATGTCAACAATCTTCTACTCATATCCAAAATTCAGGATCTTCTGAAAAAAACAAAAATAATAAAGAAATGACATCAAGTGTTGGTGTGCAAAGTCAACCAATTCATCAAAATAATCTATCTACAAATTCAGGCTATAATTCTGAATCAAATTGTCAAACTTCAGTTTCTAGATCTGTGCAAAGTCTTAATACGTTGCATAGTCCTCGATTAAATCAAAATGATTTAATAAAAGAAGAGGAAAAAGATAAAGAAGACTTATTAGATAAAGATAAAGAAGACAAGTCTGATGATGAAGTTCTTACAAAAGATGAAGAAAAAGATAGTAAAAGTTCTCCAGGAGGAAAAGAAGATCCTGGAATTCCATATGATTGGGTAAATATTATAAATGAAAAAATAAATAATATTAAAATACAATTAGCTAATTAATTCTTCTAATTTGCAGGCAACAGAATTGATGAAGGGTTATGTACCAGGATTGATTGATGCTTCTGCGAAAATGACAATTTTCTTTTGTATTTTGGAAGAAGCAATTAAACTCGGTGATCGTGTTTTAGCATTTTCTCAGTCACTATTTACATTGAATCTCATTGAAGATTTTTTAGCTAGAAATAGTTTAAAGTATCCTGATGGGCAAACAGATGCTTGGATTAAAAATGTAAATTATTATCGTTTGGATGGTAGTACTAGCGCTTTAGAAAGAGAAAAACTCATTAATGAATTTAATAATAATCCAAAAATTCATCTGTTTCTTGTTTCAACACGTGCTGGTTCACTCGGCATTAATCTTGTTGGCGCTAATCGTGCTATTGTATTTGATGCTTCTTGGAATCCTTGTCATGATACACAAGCTGTTTGTAGAGTGTATAGATATGGACAACAGAAACCTTGTTTTGTTTATCGTTTAGTTACTGACAATTGTTTAGAAAGAAAAATATATGATAGACAAATTAGTAAGCAAGGAATGGCTGATCGTGTGGTCGATCAATGCAATCCAGATGCCCATCTTTCTTTGAAAGAAGCAACTACATTATCTTGGGATTGGGAAGAAGATAGTCAAGTACAAGATTTTTCTCAAACAAAAGATAGTTATTCTGATGAAGTTATGCATCGTGTATTAGAACGTCATTCTTCATTATTAACAAAACAACCTTTTCATCATGAAAGTCTTTTGGTCGATAGAAAAGATAAAAAACTCAGTCAAGCTGAAAAACGATTAGCTCGTCGTGGCTATGAACTTGAAAAAATGGCAGCCAATTGTTCTAGACCCAGTTATAATTATGTTCCTGGAAATACTGCTACACGGGGTACGATTGTTTTCAAAATTCAATTATTAAAAACATATTTAACTTGGTAATAAAAAATATAGTAATTTATAATAAAAATATATGTATTTCTTCTATTATATTATTATAGCAGGTGGATTACAAATTCGAGCAATTCGAGGTGGTGATAATAGTACTACTTCTAAACCAGTTGCTTCGGTTAGACCAATGCAGCAACGTGGTGCTGAAGGTTTGGGATCGCGTAGTGTGACAGGAAGTCGTTGGATACCAGCAGAAGTATGGCAAAGACAAGGAATGAGTGCACAAGAAATGACGTTACCGTTAGATGTTGTTATTCCTACGAATTCGCCTGATAAAGGTAGTATTGTGTTGAAAGCTGGTCAACGAGTAATGGTGCTAAAAAGTCCAAAAGGCATTTATATGCAATTAGAATCTGGTAAAATTATTGCTATTCGAACGGCTCTTAAATTGAATCAACAAAAACGAGAGGAAGAACCTAAAAAAGGTATTTTAATTTAATAATTTTGATTTTATGCATATAATTATTTTTTAATTGAAACAAAATTTTTTTTATTGCAATATTTTATAGGCGTATCATCAATGACGCAAAGAAATTCAAAACCAGAAGTTGGATTTCCATTGAGAAATAATTCAGCCATATCCATAATACCAAAATCATCTTCAAGTAATCAAACAAGTGGGCGTTCAATTAATAAACCAGGAAATGGACCTAATTATAGGCCATTTGCTGACAAGGAAACTTCAAAAAGACCAAAACCTGTTGCTACAGCAACTGCTAAACCTTATATGAGTCATGTTAATTTAACTAATCAAGTTTCTCTATCAAGATTACCAAAAGTAAAACAGGAACCAGTAGATCATTCGACACTCGGAGAAAATTCAAATTCTTCGGATGGTCAAGTTAGAACTGAACAAAGAGTAGAAGAAGTCAGATTGGAGGATGTGGTTGCGGAAGTAAGTTCGAATACAGATTATAGTCCTCCTAATCATAATCGTGTAACCAATTCAGATACTGATACTGTTCTACAAAAATCATCTGAGGAAAATAGTCAAGTATATACTTCGGATTCTGTAACTGCACAAGGTGTTCAAACGCAACATGATCAAGAAACAGAATTAACATCAAAAATAGATAAACAATGTTCTCCTCCAATTGAAAAAGAAATCATGAAAACAACTGATACATTAACAAATTATGGACATACTTTTCAAAATCAACAAGAAAAAAGAGACACATCTAATGATGAAATTATAATTGAAGATCCATCGCCGGTATCCTCTCAAATTCAATCGCAAATACCATCACAAATACCGCCACAAGTATCTCCACAAGTACAAGTATCACAGTCAATATCATCTCAGATACCATCTCAAGTACAATCACAAATATTATCTCAGATACCACCGCAGTTACCATCACAGATATCATCACAGATATCTTCTCAGTTATCATCACAAGGACCACAAATACCACCTCAAGCATCACCACAAGTTGTAACACAATCAACACCCTCTGGTCCATTACAACCGTTGTTAACGCAACAATCTACACCATCAACTATGCAAATACCACCAACATCTACATTACGAGGTGCAGAAGTTCCTAAAGATATAACAGATTCAACTATTGGCTCCTCTACTACATCTATATGTACTGGAACAAATACTATGACATCTCCGAAAACAACAGAGCCAAGTATGCGTGAAACTTCTATACAAAGCGAACCTCCTAATGTTCCACAAGGTTACCCTTATGCTCAATATCCACGATATTATGATTATAGTGATCCTCGATCACGATCATTATCTACTCCTTATGGTACATATTTCCCTGGTGTTCCACCTCATACAGCAAATCCTAGATTACCAATGGATTCCACAAAAACTCAACCAGACTTAGGAAAATCTATAGAAGAAAGGACAATGATGAATGTGCCTCCTGCATATTCACAAGTACCTAATACTACTGCCAAAACATTAGCAAATACCACAGAAACGAAAGGTGCAGAAGCAATGGTAACTACAACAGTAGCTACTACTCCTAGTAGAGATGAAACGCATATACCCACTGCGTTTAGTCATCCTACGAGTAGTCGTTATCCTGGACCTTATCCACCAGGACCGTATGATCCATATTCACAACATTATCCTCCAACACCCGGTTCGTCAGCAACTTATCCACCAGGTGGTAAGTTAAAAAAAATTTTTTTTTTCATCAATTTTTTTATTTATAAAATAAATATGTATTGAAATTAAATTTATGAAGTAGGTGCTCCTGGATACCCAGCATATGGTGGACCAAGTTACAACACGGAATATGCTCGTATGTATACAGCGTTTCATGGTCCTCCTCCACCAGCAGATCCTTATATACATAGAGGTTATGCACCCCCTTCTTCGCATCCACCTAATTATTATCCTCCATTCCCACATCCACCACCTCCTTATCCCAATTATTCCTTTTTATCACCATATCCAAATCCCAATATGCCTAGCGAGCCACAACCACCTGCTCAGTAGGAAATTTAAGTGGTATTACGAAAAAATGATTAGTTTAATAATTTCATAAAATGTCGCATATTGCGAAAGTTCAAAGGCTGTCGCGATTCAGAAGCTTAATAGACTGAAGCTGTAAAACGCATTGATGTAAATATTTAGTCACAAGTATTGTATTAAGATAATAAATTTGCGCAGGTACTTTTTTTTTTAAAGTACCATTTATGTCACTATGGAAGGAGATTAGATAATCTCAATTAACTTTGAACTGTGCAATTTGTTGAAATGTTCAGAATATTTAGCCTTGACTGTCATGCCGTTTTACGATGCGTTTATTCGAGTAAATAACATGTTAGTGGTTACGAGTATAAATAATTTCTCGATTTAATATTCCATAGTTTCATGGAAGTATTTATATTTTTTATAGCGTATGAATATTTTGATTTTACGAATTTTAAGTAAGAACTCTTAAAGTACAATTATAGCATTTGGAAATATTTTTGACTAGCATTTCTTATTTATTTTTATTATTTTTAATGACATAAAGATTAATGAACACAAATGATACTAGGAATATTGAATGAGAAATAATTTTGTACATTTTAAACGAATAATATAAAGAAGAAAGGAATGCTGTATACTATCATTTAGCTTTGTGTATAAATGCTATATTAATCTCATTTTTATATTTTGCAATGAAAAAAAGGGAAAATAACTAATCACATTTTGATTAATCATAATACTCAGAAACATATGAATTATAAGAAAGGAACAAAAATATATGCATAAAATTTTATACATCAGCATTCCATCTTCGGTTTTATATGTACTGAAAATATCAATATACATCATTTTCTAAAATCGATTGAATTTTCATTTTGTTAATCTTAGAAGAGTGATGGATATTTTTATATTTATAAAATGATATTATTTAAAAAATTGTTTAAAAAAAATAATTAATATTTTTTAAATAGTAATATATTTATATGATCTTAGAATTTAATATTTTTAATATATTTTGATTAAATTATTATATAGTACATGATATTTTTTATTATATAATTATTATAATATTCATACATCACTCTTCTGTGGAATAATAAATTATAGTCTGCGCATCGTTATTTCGGTTTCAAACTTCAATAATTAATCTTTAAACAATAAAATTAAACTCACCAACATTTACACCATATGCTCTGAATCTATATATCACCTCTGACTTTTTACATACATTATACATACAGTATTCACTTGGAACATTTAGCAGCCAGTATACAGTTTACAGCATCCTTAGCAAGTTGTATATGACTATGTATTACTATTAAACGTTACAATTTCTGAAATAGATAATCTCATAGTAGAATGTAGGATTGTTGTTAACTAGGATGTCTTACAGTTCATGACTGTCTTGAAATATGAATAAAAGAAGGATAGGGAGAACCATGATTTTCAAAAGCGATTTTTCAAACTCGGAACTGTGATATTTTGTCATATTCTCGTGTAACATTTTTGCTTGTATATTTTTTAATTAGAATCGAAGTTTAACTTTGATTCGTGCATAAAATTGGTAGAAATGAAAATTATAATTGCGGATGTCAGTGTATTGAATTGAAATTATGCATTTATGTTAATGTAAGTTAATTGAGAGAGCAAGCACGAGATTTTTAATCAATTTTCCAAATGGGATATCGAGCCGCATGTATGTTTATCATGGTGCTCCCTTTAAATATATAGGAAAATTATTATAGAAAATAAGCATTCATGCTGAATACTATTATAGTATGTGTTTTTCATTGAATCTGTCACATGTTTGCTGCGAAAGATACATTGGTATCTTACATGTTGGTACGTGTTGTGGATTGTACGTTTTCTAGGTTTTAAGTGTACAGGTTTGACATAACACGAATATTATCGTGAGATGTATTTTTGCAAACAAGCGACAGAATCTATTGCAAATACATACGAGATTATATTTACAAAAAATAAAACAATTATTTTGTCTCTGTTATAGCTTTTTTGCCATTTACATACTTGTAAATACCCATTATTTACATTTCATACTTTATTTATTACTATACATTATCCATTCTTATCGCTTTTTTGATGTCAGAGTATTGATCTTATGTAAAATAAATTGTTTACACTGATCAAAATTGTTTTTGATTGTAGTATTGTTGCAGAGAAATTGAAACATATATATATATATATATATATATCATATATATAATTGTTTGTATGACGTTTATCTTTACGTCTGACCAATTGTTTGACTTGAAATTAATGTATGATGCATGTAGATGCGTAGGATAAAAACTTAATACTTATATGTCAAAAAAATTAAGGTTGTAATTAAGAAATGAATCTATCTATAAAAATTTCAATATACTTGTGGTAGCACGGACAAAACGTTCTTAATTATACACTTTTCTCTATGCATATTATGTGATTTAATGTGTCACACACACAC